GACCCCAGTTTGTAGGTCTTTACAGATGCAGAAAGAGGGCCCGGTTTTCCGGGCCCCATCTCACCCCACGGCATCCCCACAGAGCAGCCCTCTGTGCTTATGAAATAACAGGAGGCCCGAACCTCTCAGCTTTAATACCTTACAATTACACACATGGTTTGTGTATACGTGAGGCCTCTGACTCCACAAAGGTTCAGAACCATGTCACTGGATCCTGAGTCAGCATCCTCTGGCCAGTGTGCTTCTCAGGTCAGTTGCTGTGTGCTGGTCCCTACAGAGATGGAGGCTGGTGGTTGACACAGCTCACAGTGAGTCCAAGGAGGTCATGACCAAGGCATGGAGTTTTGTATCAAAGAGGAGAGTGAAGACCAGCTGGAACTTAGCACTCTGACCAGAAGAGGCTGCAGTTCAGGAAGTCAGCAGCAGCTCCCCAACCACGATGTGGGGAAGGCTTGTCTCCAGGGTGACAGAAATGATGTCTGGACTCCAGGCTGAGGAGGGGGAGGGAGAAGATCCAGGGTGGCCTGGCTTAGTCACTTCACCTGGCGCACCTTTCTCCCCTGGAGATAATTCCTGCAAAAAGCAGAGGATCCTACACAGACCAGAAATGCTGGCGTCAGGGCTTTTACAAAGTACCTGCAGTGAACACAACAAAAGAGAGGGGTTAACTGAACTGCAATCTTAATCGTCCATGGATCATCCCAGTAACAGTCAAGGTGAACCTTTGGATATGAGTCAACATTAAAATGCAAGTTTAGCACATTTGTTTGGTTGTTTATAAATCTGCAAATTAGCATGACCCTCTCCCCCTTACAACCTTTGGGCCAGTCCTCTAGCATCATATCTGTCTGTGACTAAATGTGAAATAAAACAAGAACATGGTTCCATTCCTTCATTCAACAGCCAGAGCCCAGAGTAAGCCAGGCCCAAGCTGAAAACACAGATTAAACTACAAACAAAAACCACCATCCATGCTCTCAAGTCCTGAGGGGAGAGAGAGAAGTAATCAATGACAGCAAGGCACAACTGTGCCAGCATTTGTGAGGTACAGTGTTAACCCAAGGGACATGATTCCCTCTATGGGAAAGGGGAATCAGGAAAGACTTCTGGGAAGATGCCGTGTCTGCACTTGCTTTAATTTTTGGTGGGCATGAGAGAGCAAAAGCCCGGAGGTGCAGGTCACTAGAGCGTTGGCAGTTGTTGGGCATAAAGCAAATGGAGTGGGCAGGTCGGAGAGCAGGCAAGGCCGTGGCCTCCTAGGTCAAGAGGAATTAGCATCACCCAGAGGGCTTGGGTCTGGACAGGAGGCCTGTATCTTGGCCCAGCACCCAGTTCAGGGTCTAAAGTTGCCATAAACCTGTCCTGGCTAGCCTCTTGCCTGTGCTAGTCAGTTAAAAAGTAATCACTTCCAATGCATTTACACTTTCTGAGAAGCATGAAATTGGTTTTCCTCCACAGATCAGTCTGCTTTCTGTTTAGATTTCGCTCCCATTTTTGGGGAGATAGGGTAGAGTAAACCTCAGGCCTTTAAAGAATTCTGGGTAATTTGCTATAGAGAAAATGAATAGCTAAAAATTTGTTTATAAACTAGAAGGGAGATTTGAAGCCAGAAAAAAACACTGCCAAGAGAAGTCATCGGTCATATCTGAAGGAATCGTCACCCCCTGCCTGCCAAGCCAAAGCAGAAGCACCAAGACCAGTGGGACACCTGCACCGAGTCAGTCGATAGATCACCAGTTCTCACCCCAATCTGCCTCCTACATTTGCTTCCAATCCATCCCCCACATCATGCCTCTTTAAGTACACTTAAAATCTGTACATCACTTGGTAAATTGTACCTAAACACCCTTGTCTGTGGCTCCATACGCCCCCATCAGCATACAGTTCACGCCCCTTCGTAGGGCATTCAAGGCCTCTGCCCTTGGCCCTCACCCAGTCCTCCAGCTTCATTTTTCCACCACGCCCAACCACCCTCATTCCTCTAGCACATCAGGCTCTTTTAGCCTTAATGCAAGACATTTACTCTGCTCAAAGCTTAGGGAAAAGTAGCCCAAGAGTCAGCTTTAAGCTACTGAGGGCATCCCTTACTGTCCAGGAACACCCCTCCTCCCAAGCTGAAGACAGACAACTGCTAAATCCAACTGGCTGCCACTGTGACTAACAAAGGTGCCCTTTCGTGGCATGATCACCCTTTACAGTTTATAAGAGCACTTTAATTCCTACTCTCTCAAATACCTGAAAAACATATAGGCAAGAGTCATTATCCCCATATTAGAGATGAGGATACAGCCCCAAGGAGGCAGCATGTGCTCAGAGTCGCACGGTCAGTAAATGATGGTGTCTGACTTCAAGAGCCAGTGTTCTTTTCATATAACAGCACTGGGGACACAGGCACAACTGGGAACAGAAGGGCCATCCTGGCGGTCTCTGGTACAAAAGCCAGGTAGCTTCTTCCTTCTCAGGCTCCTATCTGAGGGTGTCGTGGCTGCGGTGCAAATGGCTGAGTTGTCAGCACTGCAGCCTGTTTGGCCAGTGGCCTGCACCAGCCTCCACGGTTGCTGTCTCACGGTTCTGTGTGCGGGGAAGGAGGGAGGGGAGTACGAGGCAAACACTCAGCAGTGGATGAGAAGCCGGCTGGATCGCTGGGACGGTGCCTGAGTGTCTTCCCTGGCCTCTCAGCCTCAGGAAGGTGGCTCACCTGGGGTGCTGCAGCACTTGCAGCAGGGTGCTCTTGGGAGGCACCCGGTATAGTTCTGCCCTGGCCTCATCCTCAAAGTAGACCTACAAGGTGAACAGAGGAGCAGGAGTCAGATGTGAATAAAGGGCTTCAGCAGCACGAGGCGTGTTGAGGCCAAGTCTAGGGAAAAGGTAAAGAGACGGCAGCTGTTATTAGTGAATGCCTCCTTTACAGAGTTGTGGAGTATAAAGCACTCAGTCCTCCCCTGTGACACTAAGAAAGGGAATACCGGCTCCATTTTCTGAAGACAGAGACAAGGCTCAACAGAAGGAAAATAACTCACCAATTAAACCCAGCTAGTAAAAAGAGGAAGACGCAAGTCCAGGCCTAGGAGCCTTCCCTTCCCTAACATTCAGTCCTAGCGCTATCAGGTGTGGGGAAGGAAAGCAACAGTGGTCCAGAGCAAGGGAAGAGAGACATCCACACAGGGGACAGCCCTGTGCAAGTATCAAAGCCCAAGCAAGGTGAGGAAGATGTCTGCATAGGAGGGCTGCTGGTGGGTGAGGAGTGTCAGAGCCTGGACAGTGGAGGAGGGCTTCCTCGCTGGGGACCGGCCAGCTAAGGGTGAGAAGGGCAGCCACTCACAGCAGAGGGTGGTCAGCTGAGGGGAGTGAGGAGGTCGTTCATGCAGGATGGCTGAGCACTGTGGGGTGTCAGGGTGTATGTAGGACGAGAAGGGCTGCTGCCTGACTGGGGGAGTCAGGAGGCCAAGTCGGGTGGGAAAGATTCCCCATGGGAGAGGGGACACTGGTGGTGACAGGAGGGGGATTAAGTACAGAGGCCTGATCAAATAGATATACTAAAAATAACAGAAGCCATGTTAAAAATATAGGAAGGGAGAAAACTGGTCCTGTGATACAGGGTTAGAACTGGAGATACCAGTGAGAGCTCATGTTTTCATACACATACACACGGCCCTGGAGCAGTGAGCACTTCCCTCCCTCGCCCCTGTACTTATGAGTATACCTACTACTAGATCTTGACTTCTAAATACCGTTTTCCACTAAAAAGAACCAGGGTTCTAGAGCTGGGGCAAGGAAAGCACAATTTGAGCCTGGAACATCTTTTGACAGAAAGCAAGGAAGTGCTTTAAAAATGGAAACAAGTTAAAAGGACACAGAAGCAGATTTGAAGGCATTCCCACTGACCAAATCTGGGACAGTTTGAGCATAACATTCATAGTAGTAGATTATAGCAAAATGAATAAAATAGGAAACCATAAATCCACTGATATAAACAATTATGTTGAAGGTTCAATGAACAATAAGATACTTATATTGTTTCAATATAAACAACCCTTATAAAATACTAATTACAAAGGGGAAAAGAGTAATTTTGCAGGAGAGAAGCCTGGCAGACCCCTACCTCAATCAGGTGATCAAAGTGAACACCATCAGTAAAGGAATGTTTGAAATTATGTGTGCCTGACAGGATACAGGGAGAACACAGCATCGCTTCTGTTATATTCTGGTCAAATATGCATAATCCAGGTCATAGTCACAGGAAACACAAGACAAACCTACACTGATGGACTTTCCACAAAATAACTGGTCTATAATCTTCAGGAGTGGTAAGATCAAGAAAGCTGCAGAAAGACTGAGAAAGTGTACACACCAGCACTGCCACAAGAACACGCAGCAGCTAAACACTGGCTCTCAGGTAGACAGGCCCTGGGAGAGGACTCAATCTAGCTACAGAGACAGCCTGGAGGGCCTGTGTGATTCAGAGGGAGGCACAGAGCCCACTGTCAGCACATGAACAAAAGTAGCGGGTCCAGGTATGGCAGACATTGTCAGCGTGTGCACCAGACGATGCCACAAGAACATGCAGTGGCTAGGTGCTGAATCTTGGGCAGTCAGGCCCTGGGCAGGAGTATGCGGTGATCATTTCCCAGTGGAAGCACCCCAGCTCCCCACAACTGAGCACCAGATCTGGGGTGGACGGGTCCTGGGAGAGGTCTGCCACAGAGCCCAGATCCCAGGTGTAGCACAGCCACCTTGAATCCCGCAGCCACAGGGCCCTGACTCTCAACCCCAGCCTATTCCACACCACAGGATGGTTTAACATACATAAATCAATCAATGTGATAAGCCACATTAACAAAAGGACAAAAACTACACACGATCATCTCAACAGATGAAGAAAAAGCATCTGACAAAATACAACATCCATTCATGATAAAAAGCTCTAACCAAAGTGAGTATAAAGGGAACATAACTCAACATAATAAAAGCCTTTTATAACAAACCCACAGCCAATATAATGCTCAATGGTGAAAAGCTGAAAGCCTTCCCACTAAATTCTGGAACAAGACAAGGATGCCCACTCTCATCACTTCTATTCAACACAGTAATGGAAGTCCTAGTCACAGCAATCAGGCAAGAAAAAGAAATAAAAGTTATCCAAATTAGAAGGAAAGAGAAAAAACTCATTATTTGCAGATGACATGAGATTCTATACAGAGAACCAGAAAAGTCTCCACACAAAAACTATTAGAACTAATAAATGAGTTCAGCAAGGTAGCAGGATACAAAGTAATATACAGAAATCAGTTGCATTTCTTTACACTAACAATGAGATACAAGGAAAAAAAGTTAAAAAAAAAAACCCACTTAAAATCTCATCCAAAAAAAAAAAAAATACATAGGAGAAATAACCAAGGAGGTGAGAGACCTATACACTGAGAACTATAAAACACTGACAAAGAAGACTGAGGTGATTCAAAGAAATAGAAAGACATCCCATGCTCTTGGGTTGGAAGAAAAAAATGGCCATACTACCTAAAGAAATCTACAGATTTAATGCAATCCCTATCAAAATACCCATGACATTTTTCACAGAACTAGAACAAATAACCTAAAATGTATCTGAAACCACAAAAGATCCAGAATTGCCAAAGCAATCCTGAGAAAAAGGAACAAAGCTGGAGGCATAACCCTTCCAGACTTCAGACTATACTACAAAGCTACAGTAATCAAAACAGCATGGTATTAGCACAAAAACAGATATAGAGATCAACGGAACAGAATAAAGAGCCCAGACACACACCCATACACCTACAGTCAACTAATCTGCAACAGAGGAGGCAAGAATACAATGGAGAAAAGACATCTCTTCACAGCAAGCGGTGTTGGGAAAGCTGGACAGCTACATGTAAATCAATAAATTACAACACTCCCTCACACCATATACAAAAATAAACTGAAAATGGTTTAAAGACCTAAATATAAGACATCACACCATAAAACTCCTAGAAGAGAACATAGGCCAAACAGTCTCTGATATAAATCATAGCAATATTTTCTTAAGTCTCCAAAGGCAAAAGAAGTAAAAGCAAACAGAAACAACTGGGACCTAATCAAACTTAAAAGCTTTTGCACAGCAAAGGAAACCATCAACAAAATGAAAAGACAACCTACAGAATGAGAGAAAATATTTGCAAACAATGTGACTGACAAGGAGTTAATATGCAAAATATGCTCATACAATTCAGTATTAAAAAAACAACCCAACCAGATGGGCCGAAGACCCAAATAGACATTTCCCCAAAGAAGACATACAGATGGCCAACAGGCACATAAAAAGATGCTCAACATCACTAATTATTAGGGAAATGCAAATCAAAAAACCACAATGAGGTTATCACCTCACACTGGTAAAAATGGCTGTCATCAAAGTCTACAAGTAATAAATGCTGGAGAGAGTGTGGACAAAAGGGAACCCTCCCACACTGTGGGTAAGAATATAAATTGGTGTGGCCACTATGGAAAACAGTATGGAGGTTCCTTAAACAACTAAAAATAAAGCTGCTATATGATCCAGCAATCTCACTCTTATTCATATATCCAGAAAAGATGAAAACTCTAATTCAAAAAGATACATGCTCCCCAGTGTTCATAGCAGCACTATCTACAATAGCCAAGACATGGAAACAACCAAAGTGTCCATCAGCAGACAACTGGCTTAAGAAGATGTGATATGTATACACAATGGGCTATTACTCAGTCATAAAAAAGATGAAATATTGTCATTTGTAGCAACATGGATGGACCTAGAGAATATTATACTTACTTAAGACAGAGAAAGACAAATATTATATATCACTTATATGTGGAATCTAAAAAACAATACAAATGAATCTATATACAAAATAGAAACAGATTCACAAACATAGAAAACGAACTTATGGTTACCAAAGGGGAAAGGGAGGGGGAGAAGGATAAACAAGGAGTATGAGATTAAGATATAAACTACTATACATAAAATAGATGAGCGACAAGGATTTACTGTATAGCACATGGAGCTATGTTCAATTATCTTGTAGTAACTTATAATGGAAAATAATCAGAAAAAAAATATATATATATAACAATCACTTTGCTGTAAACCTGAAACTAACATAATGCTGTAAATCAACTATACGTCAATTAAAAAATTAAAAAATAGTATGTACAAGAAAAAACATTAGTGGGAAAATTTGTGAAAAGTGGATGGAGTCTGAGGATTAGCTGGTACTAGTGTAACAAAGTCAATTTTCCAATTTTGATGATTGATCAGAATCATGAAAGAAAGTGTCCTTGTCTGTAGGAAACAGACACTAAATTATTCAGGGGTAATGAGGCATTGGTTGGCACCTGACTCTCAAATGGTTAGAAGACAAATTCTTTGTTCTGTAAGTTGTGATTATTTTTTTCAAAATTACAACAATGGAATGTTATTCAGCTTTAACAGGAAGAAAATTCTCACATGTACTAAAACATGGATGAACCTTAAAGACAGCACACCAAGCGAAATAAGCCAAATACAGGAGGACAAATACTATATGACTCCACTTACATGAGGCACCTAGAGTAGATAAATTCAGAGACAGAAAGTAGAAGGGCAGATACCGTGGGCTGGGGGGAAGGGGATATAGGGAGTTACTGACTGATGGGTACAGAGCTTCACTTTAAGATGATGAAAATGGAGACAGACGGTGGAGATGACTGCACAACAATGTGAATGTACTTAACACTACTGAACTGTGCACCTAAAAATGGTTAAAATGATACGTTTTATGTTCTGTATATTATACCACAATGTTAAAAGGCAGTGAAACCTCACTGCACCACCTGTCCCCACTCCCCAGCCCCCACCAATTCCCACAGAAGAACAAAATAAAACTTCTCTTACCTCTAAATTATCAGGGCAGTATTTTTGCTCTAAATCCCAAGAGGGCGTTTCACCAAACATCACCATTAGATGATCAATAAACCTAAGGAGATATGACATGTACTTTCTGGGTATCAATAACTCATGATCTGTTTTCCCCCATCACAGTCCCCAGACACCAATTCACAGAGATATCAAGAATGTATAAATCATGAAATGCAGGCTTAATCCATTTTGACAGCAGTGCCCAAAGTGTGTGAATCACTATGACATAGTAATTCTCTTTGAACTGACTGAGGATTAACAACATTCTTACATTTAGCCACATTCTAAGCATTAACCCTATGAAATCACATGTTAAAATGGATAGTTTTATGCTTTCTAATAAATATACCCTTCAATTACTATGCATGTACTACCTCCAATGAGTTCATCTCTCACCAGAGACAAGTACTAGTGCTTGACCAACACTGTACTATGGTGTTACTCAGCAAGAGGGTGAGACCGTGTCTGTCACTGCAAAGCTACTCAGTGAAAGGACAAATCAGCTATGTAATTATGTTAAACCAGACTCTGTCAAACCCTCTCTATTCTCCTCGCTCCTCAACCAAAAATCCACCTGTCTCTCCATCCAAGGCAGCAGGGAAAAGCACACAAGCACGAGCAGAGGGTACCTGGGGAAGGAAGTACCTGGAGTCCTCGTGAAAAGCAGAGATGAAGTCCGACTGGGCATACTCCGGGTACAGAAAGAGCACAGGCCAGCTCAGTCTGCCCTGGTCATCCACACTCAGCCTGGCTCCGTAAGGGTTCTCAGAATTCAGCCCATTCAGGACAAGCTCACTGAGACCTTCAGAGGCTGAATCTTCGTCCTCTCCGGCAGCTTCAGAGATTAGCCTGATGTTCCTAGCCTGGGTTAAAGGCAGAAACACACACACACACACACACACCCCTTATGTGTGGAAGGATGCAAACCCCCATCACTAAAACAGAGAAACCATACCACTGCGAGCTCCCTGGGGGCCAGCTCTACACGTGATTCATCTTCATTATCCCTGAGGCCTGGCACAGAGTCGGCATCACTTGTTTAACTCCCCTTTACTAGGCATCTACCACATGCTAGACTCTGTCAGAGATGAGCTAGACATGGTAAAAAGTACAGCATAAAGTAAGAAGTAAAGCTGTGGAACTGCAGACCATGAATAATTAATTCAGCCTGGGGGCTGGAGGTGACTGGGGGATGCTAGGCCTTGAACAATGACTTTGAAAGGCAGAAAAATTGAGGGGCAGGGGTGTGGGAAGGGCATTCTACCCCAAGAACAGCCAAGGAACAGCATGTGCAAAGGTACAGGAAAGATCATGAGCAGCATGTATAGAAATGGCAGATGTTTCACTTTAGCTAGGACATGGAATACTAAAAATAATGTACACACTGACTTAATCTTAACTGCCTCATGGAAATAAGGATAAATCAAAGATCTAAATAGTAGTCACCTCTTGGGTATGCTGGGTGGAAGCTCCTAAGGCTAGCACACAAGGGGAAAATTATACAGAAGCAAAATCATCTTGATCTATCTCCTAAATCAGGGGTTGGCAAACTTTCCCTTAGAGGGTCAGATAAGAAATATTTTAGGCTTCGCAGGTCAAATGGTCTCTGTTGAAACTACTCAATTCTGTCATTGTAGTGTAAAAACAACCACTGGTAACACATACACCAATAGGCAGGGCTGTAAGCCACGGCTGCAAGCCACAGCTGCAGCTTGCTGACCCCTGCTTTAAACCATTAAAATATAGTATACATAGCTTTGTGTATACTAGTGTTGAGAGTAATTCTTACATTGAAATTTGAGATGCAGTTAGGTTAAAGGAGAGAACAAAAATAAAGTCTGTAAGCAAATGTCTGGGTCGTCCAATATTCTACATTTCAGAAAATGACCAAATCATTCTAAAGTATTCCTTTCTCTTTAATTTGTTAATGTGTTAACAGATTGCTTGTTGTGGGGAGGGACCAGTGCAGTACGTTTTAGTAATGTGTAGTTCTCAGAGTCAGCAAGTACCTATAAATGGGTGCATAATTTAACTCAACAAAGGATGAAACCAATTCCGTAGGTTGTCTTTTTGTTTTGCTTATGGTTTCCTTTGCTGTGCAAAAGCTTGTAAGTTTAATTAGGTCCCATTTGTTTATTTTTGCTTTTAATTTTATTGCTTGGTAGACTGCCCTAGGAGAACATTGCTAAGATTTATGTCAGAGAATGTTTTGCCTATGTTTTCTTCTAAGATGTTTATAGTGTCTTGTCTTACATTTAAGTCTTTAAGGCATTTTGAGTTTATTTTTGTGTAAGGTGTGAGGGAATGTTCTAACTGCATTGATTTACATGTGGCTGTCAGCTTTCCCAACACCATTTGCTGAAGAGACTGTCTTTACTCCATTGTATATTCTTGCCTCCTTTGTCAAAGATTAATTGACCAAAAAAGTCTGTGGGTTTATTTCTGGGCTCTCTATTCTGTTTCATTGATCTATATGTCTGTTCTAACTACTATATATAAAATACATAAACAACAAGTTTCTACTATATAGCACAGGGAACTATATTCAATGTCTTGTAGTAACCTATAATGAAAAAGAATATGAAAACGAATATATGTGTGTGTATATATATATGCCTGAACTATTAGGCTGTACACCAGAAATTGACACAACATTGTTAATTATTTCAATAAAAAACAAAATAAAATAAATAAAATTAAAATAAAAAAGAATGAAACCAAGAACCTACCCTACAATTTCATGGCAGGTTTACCTCCCCTGTGAAGGCAAGGCTCAACAGGTGACGTGTTGGGTATCCAGATGAAAGCAAGATTTGGGTCAGACTACATTCATTTAAAACACAAGAAACAGAGGGAAGGAGAGGCCGAGTTTTGTTGTTGTTATAGTTAGAGGAGCAGCATCCTAAAAATTCAGACTCCCTCAGGATGCAGTATAACACAGGGGCCAAGAGCAAGGATGCAGCTCTGACACATATTAGCTGTGTGGGCTTTCTTCATCTCTGAGACTATGTGCTCATCTAGCAAAACAGGAGCAAGAAGACCTACTTCAGGAGGCTACTGTGAAGATTAGATAGTGCTTAACCCATAGCAACTATTCAGGATCTGTTACCTGACCAACACATGGACACAAGTGGGAGAGCTGACCGAACTCAGAGGGCCTGACTTGTCACACTGCTTCACCAAAAGCAGAAAGAAAATGAACAAATCATTCAGGTAAAGCATCCTCAGAAAGGTTCCCAACAGGCTACAGGATTAGTGGACTTCACAAGACCATAAATGCCTAAGGTTTGAGAACTCACCTTGATGGCCTGGAGTAAAGCCTCATTCTGATTCTGCTCCTTCTTTTCTTTAAGCTTTGCTTTCCTTATATCTCTCTGTTCAGTTCGCTGAAAATGAAATTCAGATGCATCAGCTCCAGGGACCCTGCCTCCTCGTCTGTTACCCCCGCCTGATCCTAAATGACTATTTCTGATCTCTATTCAACCCAGGCTCCTGTATCAAGGGATACCAGTGGCTGGATTCAGTTCAATAAACACTTAAAAAGCACATGTCTAGGTGCCAGGACCAGTGGCAGCAGAAATGTTAAAATCTACAGTTCCCACATCCAAGGAGCTCACAGTCTACTGAGAGGGTCAGACACGTTAAAGGTCTGTTACATGTTACCCTGGTGGTGTGAACCAAGTGCTATGAAACACAGAGGAGGGAGTGACAGAATCTGCCCCATTGAGGAGGTGGGTTCAGACAGAAACTAGGTGAAAGAGAAAGGGCATTCTTGGTTGAGGGAATGACATCAGGGCCTGTTTTGTTGGGTTTTTTCGTTTTCTGTTTTCTCAAAAAATGTTATATATCCTGGCTCCTCCTTACTTACTCAGAACAGTCCCTCAGAGCTATCTGAGAAGCTATATCTAGGCCTTAAGTCCCCAGTTAAGTCTGCTGAATAAAACTTAATTCTCAACTTCTAGGTTGTGCTTTTATTTTTTCAGTTGACAGTTCTTAGAACATGTTTAAAATAACTGGTTTAGAGGAGGGAGAGTACAGCTCAGTGGTAGAGTGTCTGCTTAGCATGCACAAGGTCCTGGGTTCACTCCCCAGTACCTCCACTAAAAATAAATAAACATCTAAACCTAATTACTCCCCCCCAAAAAAAATAATTTAAAAATATAAATAAATAAGTAAAATAGCTGGTTTAAAGTCTCTGTCTGTTAAGTACCATGTCTGGGCTTCCTCAAAGACAGTTTCTACTGATTTCCAGCCCCACCCGGGTATGGGCCATACTGTCTTGATTTTTGTAATATTTTGTTGAAAACTGCAAACTTAAAATAATACATCATGGCAACCCTGCAAATCACATTCTGTCTCCCCTCCCCAGTGTTTGCTGTTGCTGCTGTTATTATTTAGTGACTTCCTTAAACTAATTCTGCAAAGCCTATATTCTCTGTTGTGACTACTAACGTCTCCAGTCAGTGAGCTTAGTGGTCAGGTAATGACTGGACAGATTTCCCTAAATGTCTGAAGCCAGAGAGTCTCCCAGTCTTTGCCAACGGGCAGTGCATGCTGGGACAAGCCTTCGACAATCACCCTAGCAGTCAACTACTGGGCCTCCATCTTCACTTCCTGCTTACACAGAGCTTCCAAAGCAGTCAGAGGTGAGAGCTCAGGACCTTCTTAGATCTTTACTGAGCACACATGTGACTTCCTAGAGTCCCAGGAATATGTTGGAGCTTTTCAAAGCCCCTATACAAATCTCATTTCCCAGCTTTTCCTTTTAAGATTTCTGGTAAGCCTATTGTTTGCTTCAACAGTTTTTCACTGACTCAAGCAGCTGCAACCTTAAATAACTACCTTGAATTGTTTTTAACAAATGCCTCCCACACCCACCCTCTGTGAAAACACTTCTCATACTGGGATAGCTCCAAGATGGGTCAAATAAAAACAGTTTATGTGTGGGGTCTCCTAGGGAACCACCAGATGGTCAAATAATGACAGCCCTCTGGAGTGGGGCTTTGAAGGAGCTCTAATCCTGTTCTGCCTCCTCTGGTGGCTGCCAGGCTGCTCAGTCTCACTATGATTGTGGGCTGTTGGCTTTCAAGGCTACTAGGAGGAGATGGGAATAGGGCAAGTTAAAATGCCACAAAGCTTGCTATTCTCATGAAGGTTCAGCCATTTTTCTTGAATGAACACTCCCTAGACTGTTGCAAGCCTTTGGTTCATTTCAGAGTTCTGAAAAAGTCAATTCTGACCATTTTTGCCAGTTTTCCATTGACTTTACAGATGAGAATTTTTGTAGGTCTTTAGTTGACCGGTTTTGCTGACGTCACCTCTCTTTACTGATTTCTTTATCTACTTATTATATCAATTACTCTGAGAGAGGGATGTTGCCATCTCCATCTCTCTGTACTTTTGTCTCTTCCTTCTTTGAGTTGTTAACTTTTTGCTTCATGTACTTTGAAGTTCTGTTATTAGGTACATACACATTTAGAATTATTAAATATTCTTGATAAACTGACCTTTTCATCATTTAAAAAAATGCCTTGCTTTATCTCTGGTAATACCCATAGCCTTGAAGTCCATCTTGTTCAACATTAACATAACCATATGAGGTCTGTTGCTTACATATTACCAGCACATAGGAATCCAGAATCAATTTATACTCAGATAAAAGGGAATAATCCTGACACTCAGCAAGCAATGCCACCTACACCTAGGTCAAGCTTTTGGACCCTGAAATCTCTCTTTAATTATGCCTGTGCTGCAGGACCTAGAAGCTTTCATTTAGCTCCCATAAGGGCTTTTCTGTGGTAAGCTTAGCAATGGCCTTCCGCAGTAGCCCTCTGGACACTCTGTCCTATATATACCATTTTTAGAAATTCTGGCTCACACTCAGTTACTTAGGCTTAGAATTCTGTTACTGAGCCATGTGGGTCTAGACATATCTATTTTTCTACCACTTCACATGACTAGAATGACTTTGACTAAAACTTATCCCTGTTCAGGGCTGTCTCGAGGCTCCCTTGGCACTGAAAATTTACATTCTGTAGTATAAGCAGTGAAGAGAGACCTGGACAAGGAATCAGAAGAGCTCAAGTCTTGTTCCAGGTTTGTACTGAACAGACATGTGAGGCAGTAGTGCACAGGGACTGAGAGTGTGGACTCTACAGCCAGACTCCCTGACCCTGAAGCCCAGCTTCGCAACAGTTGTGTGACTTAGGCAACTTCCTGATCTCTCTGTGCTTTAGCTACCTCACTAGTGGAAGATGAATTTAAAGTACTGCCTACCTTACGGGGCTGTGTGTGGTTTAGCTGGACTCATATAAGTAAAGTTTTTTAAACAGCACTGGAACATACACACAGTAAGTGCTATCTACCTGCTGGATATTATTTTTGGTAGTGACGGTAGTCTGTTATTATTGTTTTTATCATCATTGTTGCTATTATGTGCCAGAATGTAGCATTTCATTAGCAAGTTATAGGTGTCGATGCTGGGAGCTACACAGTATTACAGAAGCTTAAGGTTTTGCTTAAACGTTTAACTGTCCTTTCCCCTTCTCTCTTTCAGTAACTTTACTCAGTGTGCATACTAGACTATGGCAATAGTCTATTTATTCAAATCAAAATAGCCACAGATTTATCAAGTCCTTACTAATGTCAAGAAATTTGCTAAGAAATACACATACACACACACACTCTCTCTCTCTTTAATCCCTATAAAAACCTTTTGTATTATGTTCACTATATTCAAAGAGGGGACCTGAGTTTCAGAAATATCAGGAAGTTGCCCAAGGTTATATAGATCTGCTTTCTCCCATCTGGAATGTTCTCCCCCACATCCCCAAGCCAAGTAAACTCTTGTTCAGTCTTCAAGAGATTAGACTCAGGCATCACATCTCTCAGCAAACCTCTGCTACTCCCATTTCTGCCTTGCTTTGACCAGGGCAAAGTTAAATACCACTACTATATATACTATATATTCTTCCTTGCTTCTATCATGTTATAACTATTTATTTACTTATTTGTTTACTTATCTGTATCCCCCAGAGTCCCAAGGGTAGGAACTGATTTTGGGTTTTAAAGAAGAAAAAGTTTACAGTGACCCAAGACACAATCTGGGTAATGCTAATTAATTAATTAATTAATTAATTAATTAATGCTAATTAACAAATGCCAACTGGCTACTGGTTTTGCCACCAACCTTTAATTTGTCTGCTTTAGCCCTCATCTCCAGAAGCTTCTTCTCTGTGGCATCTATTTGCAGCCCCTCATCGCACCAGCTCACAGCCTCCGCATAGTTCTTCAGTTCCAAATGGCATAAGGCACCTGTAGAAGCCAGCACCCTTAGTATCCCTGGACAACATGCATGGAAAGAGCCATCTTTGAACAGGACTCCCCACCTCAACCAGCTACCAGCCAGCACCCTGAAGGGAAAATGCATGACAAAGCCCCTTGTAGTGCATTTCCCAGACAAGGAAGAGTATTTTTTGTATCTTAGAAATTCAGTTCAAAACTCCTGTAAGCCTGGTGTCAAGGACTATTAAAGAAGGGAAGGCTACAGCTTAGTGACAAAGAACATAGTCTTTGGAATCAGACAGATTTGGGCTGGAAATCTGGTTATCACTTACCAACTACACATTAGACAAAGAATTGAGCAACCCTGAGCTTCAGGTTCCTCATCTATAAACAAGACTAAAGCCCCACTCAGATGACTTTTTTTTAAATGGAGAGAAAAAATAGAATTTGCCTCAGTTATTCATAAAAGCAATAGCAAGACCAAAACACTAGGTCTCTCCAAAAATTGTTCCTGATGGCTACCAGTTTAAGCTGCCTCTCCTTTAATCATGTGTTTTCCTCCAGTTAGCCTCTTTGAACTTTCCACAGTATTTAAAAATAATAGAACTGTAAGGGCTTAGATGTCAACAGAATCCAACCTCATCTTCCAGAAGTGGGCAAACTGATACTCAGAGTGGGTGTCTTGCCAAAGTCACACTGCTAAGGTAAAATTGACAATTCAATCAAGGTATTTCCAGCTATGGCCAATTTCACAGGACTACAATTTACTTGCCCTTCTTTGTTTAGTACTTTCTCTGCCTATAGCTGAAGGACTTAACCCCCTCCCCAACCATGAATACTTAAGGAAGCATAACTTTGATAAAGCATTTTAAGTTAATCCATGGGGATATAGAGATTAATATATGATGAATAAATTAAAGTTTATAAAGTAACTCTGAACTTCTCAAAGAAAAGGTGAAGTACAAAAATAATAAAAGCACTATCATTACCTAAAAAGGTCAGGCTACAAGAGAAAAAAATAATCTGGAAACATCTCAGCACTAGTGTTATCAGCAAAAATCCCATAACTTCTCTTTTAATTAATATTAACATGGCATTTGAGATCTTGCCTTTCAATCAGCTAATTTGGAAAAAAAATTCGAATGTGGCTTTTGGAACTGCTTTGTTTTAATTAATTTTACTCTTTATTAATTTAAATCGAGTAGTTTCAATTTCTCCACAAATTCTTAAAACACAGAGGGTTGGATTATTCTGTGGGGAATTCTTTTAAAAATGGCATGTTGCTATTGATAAGGACCAGGAACTTAATATCAAGATTGCAAAAATAAGGTCACTTCATTAGTATCTTAGCACTTTTAATACCAAAGCTTAAAACATTTCTGGTGCAGGGTGTGCCAACTTTTCCATAATGATAATCATACTGTCACTCTACAAGACTTACCTCTTACTACTGCTTTGAGATGGCAGGGTTTTAGTTTTCTGGCAGCCGTTACATCATTGAGAGCAGAACGAAAATTGCCTAACAAAACACCATTTAGTAAAAGAGAAAACAAGTTTTGAGTTCAGATTATTTCCCAAATTTTGTGTGTGGAAACAAAAACACTCTTCTACAGTCTTGGAGAAATATAAACCAGAGCAATTGTTTATGGGAAAAAAAAAGTAGTTGTGCTCATCAAGAGCCTCGGAAATGTTTGTAACATCAGGCAACCCACTGAACAACTATAAATGGCTAGTAAGCACATGGAGAGATGCTTAACATCACTAACGATTACGGAAATTAAAATTAACATGAAACTGGTAAAAATTAGATACCAGTAACATCCAATTTTGGTGAAGATATGGGAAAAGGGCACTCTAGGAGTAAATCAGAGAGCAAATTGGCATGTGCTTTGTGTATACACTTTGACCCAACAATACTCTTCTAAGAATTTATCCTTAAAAATGTTTGTGAAATTGTGCAAGGATAAGTGTAAAAGCATGTTAACTGAAGCATTACTTTTAATTGTGAAAAGCTGGAAATAACCTAAATATCCTCAATTCAGTAATGATTAAATAAATTATGGTAACTCCATACTACTGAATACTATGTAGTCATTAAGAAGAATAAGATAGATCTGGTTGGCTGGAGCCCAGCAGCAAGTGTGAGTCAGTCAGAACCTGCTTCCAGGATCCAGAGATCCAGAGAAGCTGGGGTCAGAGCAGGTAGCTCCTCAAGAGTTACTGATCTATGAAATGCTAAGAATGGAAAAAACTGTGACCAGAGACCTGTAGCAATGAACAAGAAACAATATAATGGAACTTCACAAACATGTCTTCATCGAGTGAAAAGAGAAGGGATCAGGAAAAAAGGCAGAATATTGTCCTGTGGAGACAGCCACTCATTACCTTCCAGTATTTTTCTCTGGAAATCCTAGTAATCTTGAAGGAATGGACCTCAGAGTAAAGAGTTTTCCATTACCTTTTATATAAACCTAATTTACTAATTTTAGAAATCTTCAACAACTTCCTATTCCCTGTCACCTGCTCTATCAAAATGAATTAAATTTAGAACGTTATAGGAAAAAAAGGGCAAGATAGAGTTGCACGGAAAAGGCACAACAGGATGTGTTAAGTGGTGGGTCAATGTGTACAGAAGTCTATCTTTGTAAAATAAACCAACATAAATATACAGACACATGTACACACACATATATATTTGTAAGTGCGTTTTAAAAAGGTGTGCAATCATACATGCTGGTTATCCAAAGTAGGAGGCATGAGGTCGATTTTCACCTTTAGTTTATCCTGTAAATATTACTTAATTAACAGTTTGGTATTTAACTACTAATTTCACTTCTAAAACCCTAGCCCAGGGGTTAGCAAAATTTTTCTGTAAAGGGCTATATAGTAAATATTTCAGACTTTATAAGGCTACATATGGTCTGTTACACATTCTTCTTTGTTTTACAATCTTTTAAAAATGTAAAAACCACTTTAAGCTCACAGGAGGCCAGGGATCCAGACGTGGCCTGTGAGCCAGTTTGCCAAATCCCGCTTATCCAAAAGAATAATTAGAATTATTGGAAAAACTTTATTAATAACTTTCTTCATTTTTGCATTACTTAAAAAAACCTAAAAGCAGCTACATACTCAACAACAGCAGAATAGTAAAGGAAATAGTGTAAAGAGTGGTATATCCATATGATGCATCTTTATGCAACTATTAAAATAGTATTCACAAATAATTTAATGCTAAGTGAAATTGTTTATGTTATAAAATTAAGTGAAAAGAACTAAATACAAAACTGGAAGAACAGTATGATCTGAACTATGGGAAAAAAACATATAAAAGAAATCCAAAAACTTCTGCTTAAAGGCAGTAGACTGAACACGTGCATTTAACTCTATCCCTACCACTCCCACCACCCCAAAAAGCCATAAACCCACAGAGACAAGAAAAATGAGAAGAACACAGAACACATTTTAAAGCTGGAAAACAAAGAGACGGGCTAAATGACTAATCAGGCTTGAGAAAACTGAATTCCAAGCCAGCAGAGGGAAAACTCAAAAGCCACCCGAGCTGTACTGCAGAACCTACAAAGCACTCAGGACTGAGGAATCGACAGCACCAGGTGCCACTCCAAGTGTGGGTGAAGGTGTCTTCCGCTTGGTGTATTCCGAATCAGAACTGATTCTGCATCCTAATCCTAGCACTGTGTACCCTCAGATAATTCATTTGACTACATTTATTATATTTACTACAGTTTCTTACTGTGATAACTAGGGATAAAACTGTTAACCTCACCTATCTTACATAGTTGCTATGAGGTCAAGAGGGAGAAAAAATGTGAAAGTGCTTTGGAAGCCATACCAGTGACATCACTTAAGGAATGTTTCTGATTATTATGTATTTGCTCCTCTGGTATAGCACACACACGTTTTTTTCCTTGCAAGGTGCTTTTGGTCTTACTAGCCCTATACATGACATTCTTTAAGTTCCCCCAGGACAGGAACTATGTAGGTCTTATTCACAGTGCAGTGCCTACCGCACAGGAAATGCTTTATATTTAGTAATCGACTAAGTAAATGAATGAAACTACTTTAGGGAAAAGTCAGGTCTTACTCATTTCTATGATGCTAGTGCCTAGCACAGAACAAGAACTCAGTTTGCTGAATGAAAAAAATGTATTCCTCCAGAAGTTAGAAGACTGGGTTTTTAGTACAGGTTTTGGCACTAACCAAAAGGTCCCTCTCTGGGCCTATGTAAAATGAGGGGGCCAGTTAGCTCAAATAATCTCAAAAGTTATATACCACTCTTATTTTGGGGATTTTATAATGAAACAGGCTAAGGGAGAAAACACCTGGAGCAGATTACAACTGGGGAGAAACTCCGCTCAAATGGTGTTGAGTCCCAGCAGGCTTAGTCTAGCCAGACTGCAGGCTTATTCCCTGCCAGCCCCTCAGAAATGCCTGAGGTCATTCCCTGGTCCTCTCTAAACTCTGTGATAAGAAACACGGGTCTAATATGACCAAGACTAGTCACCAGCAATAATGCCACCCAAATAATCAGTGTTCCCCAAAGTCATGTCTGCAGAACAGCACTCCATGTTAATAAGTGTTACCTGCAAAGGGGGCTTATGAAACCTGAGAATCACGGGGTAAGGTTCTTTGCTGTAGGTTTTCTCAGCGTTTTAACATACTAATGTGCACTGCAAATCTCTAATGAAGAAGCAGCCCTTTCCAAATTTACTTGTCCAAAGAATATTTTTTACTTCAAATGTCCCACAGAATACTCTGAGAAATTCTCCCCTGGATTCATATAGTTTCTCTCACACAAAGAACTCTATTGCCTTAATTCTTCTAGCACCCTTGAAAAGAGGCTAAAAGGCCAGAAAAAAAAAAACCTTTTTTTTTGAAAGCGTAGAAGCATTTTGGCTCAAAAATCCGAGATCATACCAACTCATGTATTAAGGCATTTGATGTTACTTATTTGGTTCAGATAGTAAGAATTACACAATCTACCTGGTTCCTCTTTTCGCGAAGTCTACCTAAAACAGAGTTCAATTAGAGTAAACTATCCTAGGTTTCTGGGATAAGCAGCTCCTCTTCCTCTGACACTCTCAAACCCTCCACTAGGCATCATATAATGGTTTTTATCATATGCTAATTTTTTAGAAAGTACTAAATAATGAAATAAATTACCCAGATAGTACTGTGCTGCCGCCCGGTTGGTATAAAGAACAGCATTCAGCTCAGGGTCTGCACATTTCTTCTTTAATCCTTCGGTATATGAAATCACGGCTTTCTTATAGTCTTTTTCTTTAAAGTAATCATTGCCCTCGTCTTTATAGGTCCTGGCCTGTTCTGTAGAGAAGAAACAATCACTATTTCCTATTTTTCAAAGGGCTTATTAAAAATAAATTCTAAAGCATGCAATAATGTAACATATGATAAACCAAACAAGAAACCAACAGGATAAGAAAACTCAAAAATGCTATAAAACTGGGTATTAACATGGAGAAACAGTTATATGTACTTAAAGCTACAATCAATTCCAAATATGTTATAAGGTAGATTATTAAGTGCTTACCAGAAAAAAAAAGTATAAAGGAAAAAGAATACTTGTCCTAGCTCTTGAAGAGAGGACTGGGTTTTTTTGTTTTTTGGGTTTTTTTGTTTTTTGAATTACTGAAGAGGGGAAATTACACTTCTACTATTGTGTATGTTGTTCCACTCCCTGGAATGCAAATTTCTCTCCTCACCCTAGCAAGAGCCTACAAAACTGTTAGAATTCAGTTCAAACTGCTAATCAATTGAAAGCCCACTCCTACCTCCCCCACCTTTAGTGTTTCAGCAGCACCTAGTATATAGCTACATGTTGGCTCTTATCACACACATTTGTCCTGATTCTTTATGACAGTTTGGCCTATCCACTGGTATGTGACCTCTGAGGGCAGTCTTATTCATGCCTATATACCCAATGCCTAGCATTCAGTAGGTATTCAAATAAGTATACATGGGATAAATAGTGACAAGTGAGCTCAGGCTAACTACTACTTGTTATCAATCAGAACCTTTCTGACTTTATCTCAATTCAATGGAGGATCAAAACAAATGTCAAAGTCATTGAAGATACCTTCTGGAGATCGCTCTTCATCAAAAATAATTGACTGGAGGCAAGCCAAGTCAGGATTCTCTCTGGGATCAATTTCTGATGGCGCTTTCTTCATAAACAGGGGGATTTTTTCAAATTCCTGGAGGTTGTTAAGAGAAGAATGAACTATACGAATAGGAGTTTCCACTAAGTAGCTCCAGTTCCATGTCTCTATATTAAAAGTTTTCTTACTCATCATGATTTGCAAATCATCATGATTGAATATACCTCTCCCCATTCAGGCCTCAGTCTCCCATTTGTAAAATTAGAGTGTAAGATAATAATCCCTAAAGATTTTTCAGTTCTCACATGCTTACAGGAGTGGTAGTAAATTGAGCGCTCACATGTTCCTAGCACTTTACCCACCCTCTCACTTCAGCTTTCCCACAATCTTCGGAGACTGGTGCTACAGTTTGGGGAATTTTACAAATGAGACGACAGGCTCAGAGAAGTGAAGTAACTGAGCCAGTAAGACAGCCAGTAAGTGGTGGAGTCACAGGTTTCTGACTCCAAGACCTGGACACCTAAATGTACTGGCAGCTTAAGAAGACCTTCAAAACCTGGAGGCCGCTTTTTAACACTCAAGTAGAAACCACCTATCCGCTGCAGCGCCAGAGGTCGGGGGTAGGGACGTGTCTCGGCCACACACACACACACACACACACTCGTGCGGAATCCCTGGGCCCGCCCACCTCCTCCCACTGGTCCTCATGGAAGCCGCCGCGGTAAGGCTGGCTCTGGAACTTTTCCAAGAACGAGTCCATGGCGTCGTCGGCGGCGGCGTCTGACTCGGGCCGCTCCATGTCAGCTCCTCCGCGATCCAGCCGCAGCCCAGGCCCTGAGAGCAGCTCGGCAACTTCCGGCGGCGCGGGTGCCCTTCCCTCAGCCTTCCGGGCCGCGTCGGTCCGCGCGTCTCGCGTTCCGCAGTTCTGGGGGCGAGGCCGACACGACTCCACCCCGCCCCGCCCGCCCCTTCAGCAAGCGCTTGCCCGGCCCCGCCCTCCCCTGAGCGTGCCTCAGCCCGCCCTCCCGAATACGCGTGGTCGTGGGTAGGCCCAGTGCCCTATAATACCCCACTATCACTTCATTCACTCATTTGTTCACCCTGTCAGTCTACACATAACTTCCTAAGCTCCTTCCGTGTTTCAGGCCTAGTCTAGTTGCTGGGTGTACACTGCTGGGCAAAGCACGTAAAACCCCTGCCCTCTAGCAGTTGATAAAGTAGAGGGAAGAGACAGACAGTAAAACAAGTAAGATGTGAGAGTTGGTCAGGTGATAGCAAGAACTATGGAAGAAAAGTTTTAAACAGGGTGGACAGGCATTCAAGCAAAGAAAGAGGCCTGGGATTGGCCAAGGGGTGTCTGGGGAAGAGCATTCCCCATGGAGGCAATAGAGAGGGCCAGGGGTGGGGGATGGGGCAAAGAGTGTGAGTAGAATGTAGGTGGAAGGGATAATGGGCCCTGATTCTTAGGGCTTGGGTTGGCCTTTAGAGTGCAATGGGACCTTTTGGAGAGTTTTGAGGAAAGAAATGATGTGCTTAGACTAGTCTATTTCTGAAGTTAACCACCCTTGCACCCAGCCCCCACAGCTGAGATGGAAACAGGGCCTCTGGGCCAGGTGTGCCTTCCAGCAGCCACTGGATTGCCCAGCAAATGGCCGTGGGGCCTGAATTAGGTGCTACAGACTTGGGAACTCACAGCCTATTCTAGAGGGAAAAGAAGACAGGAGAAGACCAACCTAAATCCGGGCTGGTCACAAGCCTGCACGGTGGAGGCACAGAGGAGTGCCTGTTCCCTGCAGGGTTCAGGGAGGTTTCACAGAGGTGATGCAGAGCTAACAGCAGAGAAGGGGAAGGTCTCACAGACGGATGGGGCCTGGAGGGAAGCTGGGCATTTTAGGCAGTGGGGGTCCATCTGCAGAGAGACATGGAGGTGGGCAATCGCCTGCATGCTGGGTAGTGCAAGATTTAAAGGGAAAGCCAGCAAAGTGGGTGGAGGCCAGAGGGCCAGAGTAGCCCTTTATCATAAAGACATGAAGGTAAATTTATCTTCCAAAGGCCTGGGTTGCCACGGGAAAGATTGATGGGGGAGGCTAGGTTAAGAGATTGACAAGGAGGATGCTGGTGAGAGGCCAGGGAAGAAAAGAGATCTGAAGCCCAGAAGCAGAGGTGGCAGGCTTACTCATTATTTGACACAAGAATGACAGACAGCAGGGCTAAGGATGACACACAGAGGGCTGTGAGCCTTCCAGGGCCAGGACTGTGTCTTTTCCCTTCTAGCCCATCCACACCCAGCAGAACACCTGGTCCAAATGCTCCCTTTCCTCCAAATACAAACCTCCTTCTCCACCCGGCCATCCTTGACATCCCCCTCTCCCTCCCCTTCCTCCATCCTGTCAACCACCAGATTCTGAAAATACTCCATCCTCAGTCTCCTGCAGGTCCAGCCACCCTCTCCACCCTGCACTGTAACCCAGGTCCCTGCAAAGCCTCTGGCCGTGTCTCCCTATCTGTGCTCTTGTCCATCACTCCCCTCCCCACCCCTTGCCGCCAGCCCTTTCACTCCACTACTGCGAGAGCTTTCTTCCCTCCCTTTTTTCATTTGTTCCCTTTTATGCTCCAGAGCCCTCCTCTTCATCCCCTCCCATCACTCTAATGTGTTTTAGTATGCATTTTCAGTTTGTAAGTGTTCTTGCAAAATGCGGCTTCTTTGGTGCATCCGTGTTTTACGTACATTTTTCCCTCAGCACTAGGTCTTAGGTCCCATCAGTGGTGCTACATGTACCCCTACTACCTCTAACTGCTGCGTGGGACTCCACAGTACCCGCTCACTTCCTGAGGATGGATACCCAGACTGTCTTCTCTCCCAGGTACTGCAAATAACACTAAGATAGACTTCCTCATACCTCTCTCCTTATGGACCCATGGAAAGATTTCCCTGAGATGTGGAATTGCTGAGTCATGGGCATGTGTAAACCTAATATGACTGAACGATGACAGATTCCTGCCCAGAACGGATCCACTCTCTACCCTCCCACAGCACTGCCTGTATCCACATGAGGGAGGAGCTTTCTAAAGCAGACATCTGCCCACACCTCTCCCCTGCTTGCCCCTCCTGCTCCCCACCATGTATTCCCATGCTCTCTGAAGACTCCAAGGCCATAGTGACCCAGCCCTTGTCCCCCTCTCCCCTCCCACTCTGGGCTCCAGTGCATCTGTATATCTGCAGTCGGTCCTTGGTCTCATGTGCCCTGCTCTTCTCCATACATGTCTGTCATCTTTCCAAGCTTTCTGACAGCCCCACCCCCAACTGGTCTATGTACCTCCTCTGGACTTCACCACCCCCATGCTGCCCTTCTTCACAGCACTGACCTGCTGGGCAGTTGGTGTCTTTATACATCTCTGATACTTCCATTTGGCCAAAGTTTCTCAACCTTAGCACTTTTGACAGCTTGGGATGGATAAGCCTTTGCTGTGGGGCTGTCCTGTGCACTGTATATTTAGCCGTATTCCCGGCCTCTACCCACTAGGTGATGATAACATCCCCCTCCACAAGTTGTAACAATCAAAAATATCTTTAGACACAGCCAAATATTCCCTGGATGTCAAATCACCCCTAGGCATCAGACTCTGAACTGCCCAGGGCCTGGGACTGGGTCTTGTTCATGTCTGTATCTCCTGCACCCAGAGCAGGCCTGGCCCAGGCAAAATGTTCAACAAATGTTGCCTGAAAGAGTGGTGGCCAATCTCTGGACAAAGACTGGAGGGCAGGACTCAGAAATCAGGGTTCTGGGACATGCATGATATCATAGGGCGGGGGAGTCTCTTCTTTTCCTCCCCCAAAGGCTACCCAAGTCATCTTCTTTTGTTCTTATCCTCTCCCTGTGAGGGAGAGGAAACTGAGACATCAGCAGACTTACTGTGTAGCCTTGGGCAAGCCACTCCACCTCTCTGAGCCTCAGCTTCCCTACTTATAAGACGTGGACAACACAGCCTATGTGCTACTGTAACTGTTGACTGAGCCAACACTGAAGACCATGCGCATCTCACAGATTTGTCCCACAGAGCGACGGCTGCTCCTGACTTTTGGGCATCTCCCACGAAGAAACACTCAGTGGGGAGAGGCAAGCCATGTGGCATTTATAGTGAGGATGGCTAGGGCCATGGCCACCCCTGAGGAGGGCTGGGGGCTCGGGGACATCACTGCTTCCAGGACATCTTCCAGGAGCCCAGTGCCTGCATGATCCAGGAGCGCTGCTGGTGGGAAGTGGGCAGGTTCTCACAACTAGGGCTCCAGCGGTGCATGGTGGCCGGGTCACACACCCACGCGTCCCCGTGCGGCAGTGGCCAGGAGTTCTGCCAGCAGCTGGCCAGGATATTGTCCTGGGCCTGGGCCGCATAGATGCACACTGATGCTTCTGGGTCATGTCTCAAGTTTTCCAGAGCTGAGTTATGGGGAGAGCAGATGCCACTTGTTAAGACAGGTTCCCACATGAGTCTCACAGCTCATCCTTCTCACTTCACACCTTGGCTTAGGCAGTCTGCTCAGCATCCCCTCATCTCCCAGCTCTTCAAATCGTTCATGTCTTTCAAAGCCTGAATCAAAACCTGCCTCCCCTAGGAAGCCTTCTTGGACTACCCCAGCCTACCTTCATGCTCCCATCAGATTCGTCGGTTACAAAATTAGCCTGCCCCCTGAACTACTCAGCCTGCACTGGTTTTCTAGATCATAAGCTACCCTAGGGTGGGACTGTGTGTTCTGTGTCTTGGTGACTGCATAGTACCTAACATATACTCGCCTTGATAAATACTAATACAACTGGACTGAGCTGAAGTCCCTGGCCTGGGGCCACAACCCTTCCCTTTCCTATTAACCACTGTGAGCCTACTCCTTCTCTCACTGGCCCCTGAAATCTCACCAATGCCAGGCATGACTCACCCGCTTTGACTTCATTCAGACGATCTTCCGTGATGATGCTCTCCATGCAGGGGACCAAGGATCCTTGGGCATAATCCAAGAGGTGAGTGCATTCTCCTCCCAACTCCAACCCCCACCCTTGGACCAGACTTCCTCAGAGAAGCTCTCCCCATCCCCCTCCAGCCCCGCAAAAGAGGACACAAAAGGAAAATTTCATCTTGACCCTGGGACAGATTCCCCGAGGAGGGTCCTAGGAGAGGTGGCAGGTCCAGCAGGCAGGGATGGCACCAAGACAGGGTCAGGAGCTGGGCTACAGCTGACTCTGACAGGTGGCCCTAGGTGTTCCCTTCCCTAGGCTGGTCCTTCGTGTCCTCATCTAAGATTCAGGGAGGTGCTGCCTCAGCACCACCTCCTCCAGGGAGTTTGAGCCACAGTAACATGGAGGGTACCAAGGGCCTCACCTACCTTCCAGGCAGGTGGTTGGCAGGATCCCTGGAGAAGCTGAGACCCAGTTCCTTGGCCACCCATTGCTCAGTGCTCCCCTGCTCCCAGCCCGCATGCCCGGCTCCCGCGTGAAAAAGGCCCTTCCCACACTTCTTTGCCTGGCTAATCTGTCCTTGAATATATGGTTTAACATAGCCGCTCCTCCAGGAAATGTTAACCCTGCCCCAAGCTAGGTTAGGTGCCTCTCCGGGTTCCCAGATCTCTGCGTTTTATCTGCATATACCGTGTCAAATTTTAATTGTGATTTATGACCATCTGCCACCAGACCAGGGGTTTCTTCACCTTAGATCCACTAGGGTGGGGGAATGGGAAGGGCAGTCTCTGAGGATCTTTAAGACATGTGTACAAGTGCATGCATTTATGCGATTTTCTGGAGAAAGTATTCATAACTTTCTTCAGGGACTCACAAAAGATCCCTAGCCCACAAGAGGTTAGGAATCAGAACACCACACTGGGGGCATATGCAGGCGA